CTTCTTTGCTATGTATAACTGCAAAAACTACCGCTAAATGTGAAGTAAAGAAATTTTACTAGTGAGGTACTTAAGGTGAGGGCAAATATTCATTTCCATTATTTATTTTACTTAGGTCTTCCGTGAATACAGCTGGAATTTACATCATTATTAATTATTCAAGGTATTTATTAACAAAATCAGCTATATGAGACTACAACATTTTTATTCACAACCTCAACACGTTCACCTGTTTACAAACACCTTGTGATTGCTTTATTAATGTAACCAGCCAAATATCCTTCCCTTGAATGTGAGGAGGAACAGTGAAAGAACATATGGAAAATTGCTACCTTTGCAATATTCCGACCTTCACAGTGCCCTGCTGACTGAAGGTTGTAATCTTTCAGTTTTTCCTTTGAAGTCAGCTAGCGGCCAGTGTTAGAAAGCAGCGTTATCGAGCACGCACAGGACGAGTCTCGTATTCACTAAAATCTCGGAGGCCACACTTTACGTTTTTGCTGAATTTTGTGCGATGGCACTGCAAACAGATACGCTCGCTGTCAAGTTTCGTGTTCTTTACTTCACATTTTGCGTAACTTTTTGTAGCAATATGTAGCAACTTGAGCTATATTAAAGACACCAAGCCAAAAAAATACAGCTGTGCAAATCACCCTAAAAATAAAAAATGCACTATCTACAACTGTGCTTAGAACCCGGGCCTTTTAAAGGAGAAGTGTTGCATTTTACCCCTGCACCATTTTGATTCTGGTCATCAGTGGACTAACTGATGACCAGCCTTCCTCCAGCACAACTGATATTCCTGACCAAAGCATTTTGAAGCCAAATCGCAAAGCATTCCCTTGATAATTCATTTGTTTAAGACGTGACGATGTCAACAGAGACAGTATGTTCACCTTTGACATCAACCTATAAGTAGCAGCAGGGCTGGATATTTTAAGGAGCAGGCAAGTAATGAGCAACATGGTTTCATAGCGCAACCCTTTGGCTGACTTCGCTTTGAAGCTTTTGGCGTAACAAAAAGAGCGAACTTGAAAAAAAAAATCTTTTTCGTGGATATGTTCGGCATTCCAGAATTGGAACATTGTTCGGCTTATAATACAGTTAACCAAGTGGTTGCTAAATCTGGTACACAACTCGGGATCGGAGGGGACGCCAGTAGCTTCGTCAACATCACTGTTTTCCATGTTAACTTCGACAGATAGCCACCACTTGAGGACTACAGCCCTCGAAATTCGTGGTTTCTCTAAGTTTTGGTGATTTTTGTGCTTTAATGCTGCTGGTTTAGACAGGTGTGCAAGCATATTCAGGAAAACTTGAGAAAACGCTTCAGGCTTAGGCGTCCACATACCAAATGAAAGTTTCACGTTTCCCTTTACGATGTGCTCGCAGCAAGTGGTTAGGTCCTCGGATTCAAAATTTAACCCTTTGGGCCCTGGTGTCCTCAAACGAGAACAAGTCCTAAAAAGTTTTTTTTGGCGCTTTTAACAAGAAAAACGAAACTGAAATTGAAATTGTATCGCGGCAAAACATCTCCAGTGGCATTGAGATCAGTTCTCGCGCCCTCACGTTCGTCAGAACAGCAGCGAGAAACAACAAAGATGGAAGACGACGAACGGGGCGCTGGGCCAAGTAAGTGCGGATTTTTGTATTTTTTTCACCCATAAACCACTGCTGCTGTCGCGATAAGAATTTAGCACAAAGTTTTTAACTCTATATAGAAGATGTAATGCGTATTTCAATGCAATGTAATGCGTATTTCAAGGCAAAGGCGTATTTCAGTGATTGTGTGCATAAGAGCATTTGTCCTCATTTGAGTACACGAGGGCTCGGTGGTTGCAACGTTTCGCAGGTGATGGTGTGGCGTCTCGTGGCCGTACAGCTGCTTTTGCTTATTTTTCAGGTGCCGGAATGAAACCTCAATTCTTCTACTCAGCAACGAGAGCCCGTAGGCCCCGCTTCATGCCGCTCGAAGACGCGGATGAAATGTTCGCTCAGTTGCACAATGGCAACCTATCGGATGTCGGCGATACTGAAGATGAGGAAGACGATGACTTCGTTTTTGAAGAGACTGGGAGCAATGACGGCGTCCTTGAAACGCGGGAAGCGTCAGATGAGTTGGACGAGTCAGACGAGGAACAGGCATGTCAAGAAACATCGTGGTGCCGGAAAGCTTTTCAGAAGCCGTCAGCCGATTTCATGGGAGTTTGCGATGAAAATGAACCTCTTCAAGGTGAGCTGCCAACGCCATACGAATATTTCTCCATTACGTGCCCAAGAGCGTTTTTGTTGAACTGGCTGACAAAATGAACATGTATTCCATATTCAAAGAAGGCAAATCGGTCCTAACAAATGAAGAAGAAATAAGAAAACTTATGTCTGCTTTTGCTGATGGGCGTTGTCAAATACCCCTGTCTGCGTTTATACTGGAAGCCTGTTCTGAAAACAGAAATGTTCGCGATGGCGGATATGTCAAGGAACCGCTTTGAAAAACTGTGCAACTGCCTCCATATTGTCGACGTGACCAAAGAGAATAATTCCAGTGACAGCCTTTAGAAGGTGAGACCGCTGCTGACTTACTTCAAACAAAGGTGCCACAATATTACGTTGGAGGAACGATTATGCATTGATGAGCAGATCATAGCATTCAAAGGTAAACTCGACATAAAACAATACGTCAAGGGTAAACCAAAGCCGTGGGGCGTCAAGGTGTATATGTTGTGCGGAGCTTCCGGCATCATATACGATTTTCTTATTTATCAAGGTTCAACGACATGCCTGAATCCAGACCAAAAGAAGGAATTTGGCGCCACGGGTGCTTTGGTTCTTCACTTCACGTCAAGGATTCCGGATGGACTTGGAGACAAAATGGTTTTGGACAATTTCTTTACATCTTTGCCTGTGATTCGAGAACTCGACAAGAAGAAGATATATGCTGCCGGCACTATACGCATCAACAGGATGCAAAAGTGTCCACTGAAGTCGGAGAAAGAATTGAAAAAAGCTGGAAGAGGCTCCCATGACACTTTAGTAAGCAGTGATGGAAAGATTGCCATAACGCGGTGGTTGGGTGACCGCGCGGTGAACATGGCATCCAACTTCCTAGCTGTTGAAGAAGAAGATTGTGTCTCCCAATGGAGTAAGACAGATGGTGCTTTCATTGAAGTGAAACGGCCTGATGTAGTGCAACAATACAATCAGAGCATGGGAGAAGTTGACAAGACCGACTTTCTTGTGTCACTATACTGCACCAACATTCGTTCTAGAAAATGGACACTTCGCGTTATTGCACGCTTCATGAACTTGGCTGTGACGAACTCCTGGCTGGAATATCGACGCGATGCTGAGCAACAAGGACTACGCGTAAACGATCAGATGGACCTTCTAGATTTCACGCTGCAAGTTATGGATGCCCTAGCAAAAGCTGGTGTGGCTGTTGCGTCGCGAAAGCGTGGGAGACCGTCTGCTTCCCCGATGCAGCTATTGAAAAAGCTTCAGTGTGGCAATCAAAGGCCAGTGGAAGATGTCAGGTATGACCAAACCGGTCACTGGCCTGTTGCGAAAGAAGAACAACAGCGCTGCATGCTGGAAGGCTGCAAGGGCAAGCCAAGAATCAAGTGTGAAAAGTGCAATGTCTACCTCTGCCTCATGAATGGGAGAAACTGCTTCAAAGAATTTTATGTCCGTCCCTGAACATTACACGCGTTGCTAGAAACTATTTTGCTGCACCAAAGTAGGTGTATAAAATGGAAAATAAACCATTACACTAACATTCACTTTTGCCTCGACTGCACACATTGGGCCCTGATGTCCTCATTTGAGGACATAGTTCTAAACTTAAAGTTAAGCTAACCGCGCAAATTTTTTAAATAAACACCAATGTTTTATGGTGTAAAGAAGCAGAATATCACACCGAAAAAATTGCAGGTGTGACGAAAAAATTCCAGGGCCGAAAGGGTTAAGTCAGAAATGTGCGTCTTGATTATCACCAAGAAGGCTTTTCGTGGAATAGCAGCCATTCAGGTCCTGGGAACTGCAGGGTAATTTTGGGGGTTTGAAAAAGTGCCTCCAATCGCAAGTGTTTTCCTCAGAGTCTTAGCCCGTTCGACAGCCCAGCGTGCCGCACGTCGGCATGTTTACTATGCTAAACTGCTAATTCAATGAAGCATGCTTGATTGTCATGTAACATGTTAAGTACTGCTGTGATGACCGAAATCTAACTTTCAACCTTCCCTTCAAGATCTAGCCGCTGTGGTCTGAGCTGTGGTCTGAGCAACTAAAAAAGAAAAGCATCGCTGCCGCGGGACGCCGGTGACGGTGGCGGCTCACTGTCAATGCTACGCTAGCGCCGCTTCTTGGAGCGCATACGAGTAGAGGCCGCCTCCGCAGTGAGCTTTTCTAACTGACAGTATCTAAAAACTTTGCAGACTACCAATCGCAGCTCCACAAACGAATCGACCCTGCTTGTGCTTAATTTTTTCGAAGCTTGATCTAGGCACGCATTGTCTTTATTGCTGCTTCAGCTAGCTTACATCTGCACTCTTTGGTTTCGACCTGGGTCAGCAGCACCACTTCAGGCTGGACATTTGGCTGAAAGTTTAGACATCGCAGCAATAGTGGCGTGTCAGGTTTCTCCTCTATGATTTATTATTTATTTAACAATACTGCCGTTCTCACAAGGATATCATTGCATGCATTGTGTTTCCAATGACATGGTGCCTCATGTGCAGTCATATTAGTAAATATGCTTATCGTAGTGGAACAGTGTGCAGTGACCATGAAGAAAAGAAATTTTACCCCCGAGTATTGGAAGAAAAAACAATGTGTGTTTTCATGTGACACAGGCATGCCACTGCTGTGGTAGACTGCTGCTTCACTGTTGTCTGTGCCTTGCACCTTTTTTGTTCACATGAATGTAGTGCTGGAAAACATGATTGAAGTTTGAAAGTATGCAGTACGTTGATGCCAAGGTAACTTGTTTTTTGAGGGCACATTAGCAGCTACAAAAACTAGATAAGACCCTTTCTAGTGTTATCAAATGCAATAATTGCCATAGGTACGGAACTGAATCATATAGAAAATGTTCAGCTTACTAGTGCTGAATGCTCAGGAGTGAGTGAGCAAACTTTATTTAACCAGCGGATTGAGGCGTGGGCCTAAGCCGTGCCAGGGGCGGTGGAGAGACCCCGTCTCTCAGCCGCCTGAAGTTTTGTAAACGTTTAGGCTAGAGCATCATCAAATTATTCGCACCACAAATTTACTGACATCGTGTACCAAGGTCGCTAAAGGCAACTGTATCATACCCTCCTTTTCTCCTCTGGCTGACCTCCTCAACCCATGAGGGGCACTGGCGATCTCAGAGCTTTCATGAGTGCTCTCGAAGATTTCAGCTTCTATCATTCTAGACCTCCGAGACCGCACACTGACAGGTTGCACGCAGTCTCGGAGGCCGCCACACAGTGCGCCCGGCAGCTCAGATCAGCAGCCACGGTGACATCAAGTGGCCAGAGCATGTCACTCTGTTAATGGGCGGTTGAAAACGTGTTTCATTTTATTGCCTCGAATTTGGTATGCTGCAATGCATGGTGGAGTACCTTTTGGACTGGAAAAAACAATCTTCCTGAGGCTTATGAAAAATAACTATTTTCATGCTAACTAATAAGTTGATGACACTTAGGAGTTAGGATATGTGGGGTTGAACGTCCCAAAACCACCATATGATTATGAGCTCTGGCTCTGGTGCACTGATAGAACAAGTCTGTAGAATTGAGAAGAGAGGGTGTTGAAAAATAAAACTAATTTTGAAGGTCCCATATGCTTTTTTCTACATCAGGTCGAGAACTTTTCAGACCATCATCATATAGAGCTTGACATGTACTTAGTAAGCACTACAAAAGTTGAAGACAAAGGTTGAACCACAATCATAATAACAGAATGCATTTATAACTCGCGAGCAAGAAACAATGCATGAAAGGAAACAAAGAACATAATAAGGCTCACGAGACACACACACAAAAAAAAAGAAAGCAAGATGGTCATGTAGAGCCAGTCTTATTAACAATGTCGTCATAGTCTCCGCACACAGTCTCTCGAAGAGCAAATTCTGTGTTTAAATGTTTTCTTAAAGCTGATGTTTGATTTGAATGCATATGAGTAAAGACCGGAACTTCAGGCAAAATGCCAATTTTTTGCTGCAGCACATTTCGAGCCTATTTAAGATAAAAACACGAATCAAGAGATGTGAAACATTTTAATCACACACTTAATGTGCCTATCAGTGCCTATATTGAAGGTCGTGGGTATTTCAGCTTTTAAGTGCCTAAAAATGCCTTTTTACGTTCGCCGAATAAAGGTTTTGGTTAAATGAGCTATTCATATGGAAAAAAACAAGCACTTGGTGCGGCCATGTCAACGACAACACGTGCATGGCCCGCTAGTTTCTTTTTTTTTCGTTCATGTTTTAGCTCCTGTTAAGGTGAGATTAAGGTTCGAAGTGTCATGTCGGCGAAAACAGATCATAGGCCGACCCACAGCCACAGCCAATGTATATCTACATTCGGCCAATGCTCTCCAATGCATGTCATGCTTGCCAACGCTTCAATAACATCGCACTATAAACGTACTTTTATATGAACGGGGCTTATACCCCAGCGAGGAAAAGCGAGACTATCATAGCATCATAGCGCTAGTGGGCCCCCCTAAAAGATATCCGCCGCTTGGTCCGAGAGTAGTGCAGCATAGCGGTTGCGTCAGTGTGGCTAGAGTGTACTGTAGCAAAGGGAGGAGAGGCTAACGCTAGTGTACCCCCTGCCCCTTGAAGATCCCCGTCCCTAGGTTCGAGTAGTCCACCTCGGCGGTTACGTTAGGGAGGCTAGGGTACAGTGTAGCTAGAATGCACTCTAACCAGACGAAACTAAGCTAGGCTGGTGCTGCCGCCTACACCCTACACGTAAGTTTCATTGGCATTTATGTTCTTTATAACGGCAGCTGTCGAAAGTCTGTCAAGCAATGTGGAATAAAAAAGAAACCGTAAAGTGTACTTGTCTGGCAATGGAACAGTAATCACAGCGCTACTCCGTCAACCTAGAACTGTTCCATGTGAAAAACAGGGGAGAAGACATTGGAAAGATCAACAATATTTTGGCCCAGCCGCGGTGGTCTAGTGGCTAAGGTACTCGGCTGCTGACCCGCAGGTCGCGGGATCGAATCCCGGCTGCGGCGGCTGCATTTCCGATGGAGGCGGAAATGTTGTAGGCCCGTGTGCTCAGATTTCGGTGCACGTTAGAGAACACCAGGTCGTCGAAATTCCCGGAAAATGCAATTATAAGAATGGGGTCGTTTTCATTACGAACAGGTTCCGCAAAAAATCACATTGGTTTTCGGTGCGAATTGTCGTTCACACTCGTGCTCGACATCTTCGTCGGGGGGTGCAAACACAGTTACTGCATGCAAACACAGTTACCACTGCCGACCATGGATGCTGTGATTTATGGCAGTTCAATGCAGAGACACACAGGCACTTCGATTATCATGCATGTTAAAAACTTCAGCTCAAAATTATTTGCCCATTAACACTACAGCAGCCTTTCAATTAATGTCATCTTCCATGCAAAATTTAAATAATTTGGAATGCAAGCAAAGAAACTGCTGAATAATGCACTGCTAAGAAGTTAAACTGCAGCTGCACAGAATGTTACTACGAGTACAATTGAAACTTCTCCTGACAACACAATGTGCTCTTTCTGCTGTCGTGAACTTGGAGCAGGAGAACAGTTATTGGCAGTCCTTTTCTACTTGTTTGTCTTCTGTGCTCTGTTCTTGATACAATGTACATGACCGTGGAGCACCGGATTCTTTGTTAGTGCCGGAACTTAGAAAAATACACATCATTGTTACAACCATGCTACATGCAAAAATATACAGTTGTGAAATATGTGCTCATTTTTACAGATGTCATATTTTCAGAAGCCGATGAGAAGCCTCAAAACACACACAAACAGTGAAGACTGAAAATGTATTTTATTACGCTACAAGAGCAAAACTACAATGTTATAGATGAAGGCATGAAACTTCTGCCCGGCCTAATAAGCCAATAAAGTTTCTTCTATTTCGACATTACACTGGGTGCAAGAAGCAGACCACAAATAAGTTTACTAAGAGATACAAGTAAGAGTGCATTACAACACAACAGCTAATGTTCATAACTTTAAGGCTCTCTAACAGAGCCAGCTCACCATACCGCGTATAAGAGCAAATTGGCAGTCAAGAAGACACAAAGCACTAGTGTATTATGAGTATGCTTGTTGCTGACATCTATTATTCCAAACAAACAAAACCTTTCAAAACTGCACTTCATCAGGGGAAAGAATCATATATATGCAACAAACACGACCTCCTGCAGGCGCAGCCAACACTCACCATTGTTGTTGATATCAGTGTCTTGCCGGATGGATATGCTGTGTGCTGCACAGAACGCCAAAGGAGCGCTCCATGACTTGGCTTGCATGTGTGCTGGCTGAATCGCACAGCTGCTGAAGTAGGCTAGTCACAGACAGAGAGATGAGGAGCCATAGCTTTGAAGCACACTGAACGTCACCTTTAGAGATCAACAATGCATCCTTAGGTCAGGTAAAATTTGTAGAAAAAAATATATCAGTATGCAATCGTGGTGAACACGTTCGGCTGAAACACAA